GTGTGTATGTTAGAACATGTAAAAAATAGAACTCTGAGACAGATAGAGATGATAAATATTTCTACTGTGATAGAATTTCTGATATTTTCTTCCTACATTTTATTGGATAATCTTAGAAACCCAGTTTGGAATCCATTGCTGTATGTTGAAGACTTTTGCCCTTTAAATTTCTTCCTTCCTTTTCATGGACTCTCCAGAGGAGAGCCTATAATCGTATATACTTGATCTATCATGTTGGACTAGAAGCACTTAGTTTTAGTATAGAGGAGGTTTATGTTAAGAGAAAACCAGGGAAATCCCCCCGTGTTCTGTCCACAGTCTTCCTCAGAGGTAAGCACTGCATCCAAACTAGTTTGATGTGCTATCTGTAGTCTTCCTGGCTTTTTAAAAATGTATATACATGTTCACTTTCTGTATCAAGTAGAATTACATGTATATTTGTATGCATGCACATATATGTGTATATAAAATAGGAGTTATACCATGTGAATTTCTCTTAACGTTTATTCCATTTAATGTATCATGAAGTATAAGATAGTGACTGACTGATATATGGATTCAGGGAGCCTGATTGTTTAGGTGTTAATCCAGGCTCTGCCACTTACTAGCTGACATTAAACTTTGAAGGTTCCAGTTTCCTTAAAATATGTAAACTTCCTCTGCTGATAGCTATTTACATTGGAATCTCTAGAAGGATCTTTGCTTACTTTGCATTCTGAAGTTGGTCTAGGCACAATGGGTGACAACAAGAAGCTTCAGATGGGCTTCTTTTTTAGCTACCTTGTTTCCCTGTGACTCATCTCTGCTTTTCTCATTGAAGTGTGTTTGCTACCCTCCAGTGAACCACCTGGTTTGCAGCTCTTCTTGGCACACAGCTCTTCCTAATGTGTGCTATAGGTGTCATCCATAAGCTAGTGCTCTTAAAAAATTCTCTGTGAATCAAAAGCCTTGTAAATTTTGAAAATTATTTTCTATCCAAAGATTTTGAAGAGTTAGGTTAATTTACAGATATAATAGAGAAACGAATAAAGGTTATTATATAAACTTAAGCATTTTTACTTTATTCTGTTATTGTGTTACTAGAGGCCTGGTGCAAGAAAATTCGTGCACTCAGCGGGGAGGGGAGGGCCTCTCGGCTTGGCCTGCACCCTTTCAGGGGAGGTCCACCTGCCAGCTTAGGCCCGTGGGGAGCGGGCCTCAGCCATAGTCGGACATCCTTAGCGCTGCTGTGGAGGTGGGAGAGGCTCCCTCCACTGTCGCTGCACTGACCAGCCACGAGCCAGCTTCTGGCTGAGCGGCACTCCCCCTATAGAAGTGCACTGACCCCTGGGGGGCAGTTGCTGCACTGAGCGTTTGCCCCTGGTGGTCAGTGCGCATCATAGCAACTGGTCATTCCTGGTAGTTCTAGGGTTAATTTGCATATTACCCTTTTATTATATAGGATTGTGAACAATATCTAGCTGAGAAACCAAAGGCTACAATTATTTATAAGAATTACTCTTTTGCCCAGCCTGTGTGGCTCAGTGCTTAAATGTTGACCTATGAACCAGGAGGTCGGTTTGAGTCCCTGTCAGGGCACGTGCCCCGGTTGTGGGCTCCATCCCCAGTAGGTGTCATGCAGGAGGCAGCCAGTCAATGACTCATTCATCATTGATGTTTCTCTCTCTCTCTGTCCTTCCTTCCTCTCTGAGATCAATAAAAATATATTAAAAACAAAAAAAGAATTATTATTTTGGAGAGGCACTGGGTAATCGTGTTCATCTTGTATCTTCATATTTTAAATTGGTGATACTCCCAAATTGACCTATAAATATAACTCAGTGTTTTAAAATTCCTGCTTGTTTTTTGCAGAAATTGGCAAAATGTTCCTAATATTGATATGGAGATGAAAAGGACCTAAATAACCAAAACTATTGAAAAATAATAAGTCGAAGGACTTATATTTCCCAATTTCAAAACTTGCTACAGACTTACAGTAATTAAAACTGGTACTCTCATAAGGTATAATAAAGACCTATGGAATCAAATTGAGAATCCAGAAATGGACCAATATATTTATGATCAATTGGTTTTCAACAAGTATATCAAGACAATTCAGTGGGGGAAAGAATAATCTTTTTCAACAGGTGGTGTTGGACAGCCGGATATCCACATACAAAAGAATGAAGTAGGGTCCTTCATTACTACATATATAAATTTTTAACTTAAAATGAATCAAAGACCTAAATGTAAGAGCTAAAATTATAGAACTCTTGGGAGAAAAAATAGGTGTAAATTTATAAGTAAGCTTGGTTTAGTCAGGCAATGGTTTCTTAGATATGGCACCAAAAGTCAAAGAAACTAGATCAATTGGATTTGATCAAAGTTTAAAATTTTTGTGTTTCAAGAAAATGAAAAGACAACCCACAGAATGGAAGAAAACCACATATCTAATAATGTTTTAGCATCAAACCAAGGCAAAGTATTTCCCCCTATCTTTAAATTTCTACCATTTCATATCAGTGCATTGAATTCCATTATCACCACATATTTTTAGAGAGATTTGTGTGTGATCATGAGTCCAATAACCCTCCCTGCCCTCTGCCTACAAAGGAAATGCTAGATACAGTCCTTTACCATTTTTAAGGGAAGAAACTGAAGATACTAGATTAAGCACTAAATAATCTGAAGCTTAAAAACTATTATTTAATAGATGTCAGGACAAAATTATACTTAATTCACATTATATCCCAGAATAAAGTACTTAATGTTGTTATATTTTTTAATTTACATCCCAAACCTTCAGTGCTCCTTGTCATGAGGTTTAGAAAAATTCTTTGTGTGTCATATGTCTGTTTTTAGCCAATCAGAAGCCAGAATTCTCTTGTATGTAATAATAGGGCTAATTGGAGAGGAGCTATAAGTAGGACTTTTGAGTTTTGACTACAGGAGTATAGAATCCTGTCTTTTTAGTTACAGGTTTAAAAATGTTATTCATTCTTAATGCTTCTTAAACTAAAAGCCTTTAATTACTACTTTTACTTTTGATGAAACAATTTAATGGGCTTCAAAGGAAAATATTTTAAAAATAGGAGGGAGACAGAATTTTATGAATATGTCTTCAAGGTTTTCTTCATCTTTACCGATTTTCGTCTCACCTGAGCCAATTGACTTGGGTTCTGTAACAAGTTCCTCTTGTTCACTGAATGAGCTAGACAATATTTCCCATCTTTTAAGGAAAATATCAACTGATATCAATGAAATTAAAGAAATGAAAACAGCAATGTTGACAGCGGAAGCAAATCTTTTTGATCTAAAAGTTAGAGTGTCACAGAATGAAGCAAAAATTTCGTCTTTGGAGGTTAAAATGAATGAATATTCAACATCAACAGCTGAATGCGACAGAGAGTCAAAAGGTCTTCAAGAGGAAGTAGATTTTGAGTCACAGTCAAGGACTACTGATGTAAAAATAATTGGCTTCCTTAGCAACATTGAGAAAGGTAAATTCTTAATATGATAGCTTCTAGGTACCCACGGCGCTATATATTTTCCTATAACCTGACTAGTTCTCATACAGAGGCAGCATGTCACAAAGAGCTTGAAAGTTTTCGTGGACCTTTAATGACAAAATTGGACCCTGCATGATTTAACGTAGAAGTTTAGAACTTAACCAGAATTCCGTCCTCTCTAGTGGATCTCTCTGAAATGATGTGCTGAAAAGATAGGTGAGCATAGAGAGATGAAGCAACAGTTGACATATGAGAAAATGGTCCCTTTTTTTGTATCTGTCTTGGGAATTTTTTTTTAAATGTAAGACCATGTTGTATTTTAATTGGAAGAGCCTTTTTTTCCTGTAACCTAATCTGTGTCAGTTTCTCAGGCTGTCCTTTAGGAATGCGGCTTGACCAAATGACATCTGTCTTTCATTTTCAGGTCAGCTCCTTGGGATTTACTGTATTTTTACCATGATAATTTTGGAAGGAATTAACTTTTATTTTGGCACACCACGACAGGATAATGTAACTTACATTTTAAAAGAAAATAGGTGATACAATTTTGAATTGAGCATAGCTTTTACAGTTTAAAAACCCTTTTAATGAAAATGGTAGTTGGCAGTTGCATGTTTTCGCTGAGTGAGTAAAGGCTGTCCTTGTGAAGCGGCCAGTAGTAGATACACTAAAAGTTAGCATGCAGGCACCTAACATTTCAGTGTGTGGAACCCTATCAATCACATCCCTTTGTACGCTGTACTGTGTGATGCTTTTGTCGCAAGTCTGCAAGCGAGTGAGGGCCTACTATAGGCTGTGCATTGGACAGGGAGGCTTGGAGAAAGAAGTGTGACAGCCTCGCATCCCTCAGAGTGCTCACCCTCCGATTGAAGATGGAGACAGTTAGTGCTGTGTCGGTGCTGTGTGTGTTTTGCAGTGTAACTATGAGCCCGCTTCTAGCCGAGCATCTTCTGGAAAATCCAAGTGGTTACTTTCATGCTTTGGTAGGACCTGGACAGTAGAGCTGAGAATTTTACTTGTTCAGTGTTCTCTTTATATCCAGCCAAGCCTGTAGTCAGTCTTTGGGGCACTCTCTAACCAGATAACTCTGGAGTGTTTTGTTTTGTAATTCCAGGGGTGGGTGGAGTGAGTCATAATGGAGAGAGCCAGGTGATGGAGAGAGATGCCTCTTATGTTGACCTTGCAGTTGGCAGTCGCCTGTCTCCCATGGTGCAAGCTGTGGGTCCTTGCAGCACCTCTCTTTGGCTTTTCTACCTTTTCACCTTTATCTCCAGTCCAGGAAAACCAGCCTCCAGAGGGAGAGCCAGGAATGTTGGACATTGCTGTTTTCGGTTTAATCCTGTTTTTGTCTTACGGACCTTTGGTCTAGAAATATTAGTAAATTGTATGATTTAAACTTTTATTTTTAAGACTTTAAGAACCCAGAAAGATTATTTGGGGCTTAATTTCTGGGACATAAACATGCTGGTATTGTGTTTTAAGCTTAGTTAAGTTTTAAAATATATATTCTAGGAACTCAACAGAGGCCGTTACTGTCCCGGCTGCAAATTGATCCAGTCATGGCAGAAACTCTGCAGATCAATCCAGGTTGGTAATCATGTTAAGTTTTCAGTGTAATCGGGCATTTTTTAGTTGCTATTTTCATTACACTTCATTTAATGTGCCTTGTGTTTCTTAGATCCTGCCCTAAGGTGCTGTATTTAGGTCTGTGAAAATATTTTAGGGGCAGGTGACAAGATCTGCATTTTCTTTATGTTACATGTGTTTGTATTTTTCACCTCATTCAAAACCTTTCTTCCATTGCTGCCATTTTACGTAGGACCCTGGAATGACTAGAGTCCCTACCCTACTCTCCTCTCTGCCCAACTTTTGCCAGGCCCTGAGCTGCTGTAGTTTCCCTGCCTGTTGAACCAGTCTTTAGACTCTCATTGCCAGGGACACACCAAGGACTTGTGGTTGTTAGACCCATTGGAACTTACCTTAAGTCTCTCCCACCCCAACACATGCCATGGCTACTTCAGGACTGGGGCTAGTCTAGTGCCTTATTTATCTCAGTTGCCAGTGCCCTTGCCAGATGCATGTGGAATCCCTAATGTCTCCTGAAAAAATGATGGGAGCCATTGACACCTGCAAACTTAAAATCAGAAGTCTTATTTTCTCCAGACTTATTTCTTATTTCCTTCTGTCTCCCCCAAACCTGCTCTTCACTGGAAGCTCTGGTGCCTTGACTCTCTGCTTCTCTGCCCCTAACCAAATTTTCTTCCCTGTGATCGGGACTCCACAGTCACCACCTATATTACCTGACCTTGCCATGGCCTTTTGTGCTTGTCTTCTCTGAGGGTTACATCCCACCCACATGCCAGCTCCTAACCTGCTGATGAGCAGTTTGTTATCACCACACTCATGTCGCTTCAGTTTCTGCCTCTCTCATGGCTTCTCCCTTCTACCTATAAAAGGGGTTAGAAATTCTCCAGTCTTGATTTTCCACTTATCTCCCAACATTCCATCCTCTTTCTACAAGGGCATTTTCCTTCAAATGTTTGGCAGCTGAAGTCTGTGTATGTAGTATCCGCTTAACCCTCACACATTCGTTTTGTTTCCTTTAGTTTTTATATTTACCCATGGTGCCCATACAGTTTGAATTATCAAGTAGTTCTAGTAGGCTTATGAATGACTACATCCTTCGCTTACCTCTTATAATTTTTTAAATTGATTTTAGAGAAGGAAGTAAAGGTTGGGTGGTGGGGGGAGAAACATTGATGAGAAAGAGACATCAATCGTTTGCTTCCCATACACACCAGGACCACGGATTGAACCCTAAACCTAGGTATGTGCCTGACCAGGAATCAAACCCATGACCTTCCGGTACGTGGGACAACGCTCCAGCCAATGCCACACCAGCAAGGGCTCTACAGTTTTTTTATTTTATTTCTGAGAGCCGTTTTATTTGTGCATCTTTCTCCACCACCACCCCTTTTTTTCCATACTGGTTTTGTTTCATGTATGCAGTACTTTCTCTTATTTCTCTGAGGATATTGAGGTAGTTTCTGACTTTTTTTGTGTGTGTGTGTGTTTTATCCAGTTGTTCGTTTTGATCACTGTCTTTTGTGAAAGAGGTTTTCTTCCGATGTCTGCAGGCCCTTGGTAGGCTTAGATTGAAGAGTGGACACTTAGGAAGCTGTTGGTGCTCTGGCTTAATTAGCTGGGGTGTGGGCTTTGGACCTCACATAGGAACAGATCTGCAGTGGAGTGTGATGTGTCTTGCTATCTTGGGGCACCCTAATGTCAGTTTTAGGCCTTTCCTGTAGGCTGGTCAGCTTCTCTAAAGAAAGACCTTTCAAGTAATGGACTGGCTGGGAGCCAAGTGGGAAAGGGAACTGGGGAAGGCACCTCAGCATAAATTACTACAGAATGTTTACCTTAACAAGCCCCCCCATGGTTTCTGAACAGTGCTTCTTTCAACCTGGCTGGCATCCCTTGGTGCAGAGACCCCTCTGCTTTTAGCTCAAAAATCTATAAAGCGATACTTTCTCCAAGGGAGAAACTGGTCAGAGGAAACCTGCTTTTAACAGTTTTAATAGTATGCATTTAGTTCATGTTGTAGCACCTTTCTGTCGGAAACCAGGGAGCTTCATCTATAGGTGTCTCCCATGGTGACTAGTGAGAAAGTGGATCTCCAGTTATTCCAGATGTCTTCAGTAGAGAGGTAGGGGAATAGAAACGAGAAGTTAGGAAGAACTAACTGTGCTTGAAATGGACACTGGAGCAACGTCTGTTCTGCCCACCCCTAGAATCCCAAGGTCCCCTATTTCTCAATCGCTGGGGAGAGTCTTGAGATCCATGCTGGTTGGCTTCACTATTGGCTTCAGACTCACCTTTTGAAGATCTACTGAATTGGTTTCTCACTTCTGAAGTGTGGTTGTATCTCCTTTCACAATCATTTTCTTGGTGGGTTTTTAAAAAATTAACCCTTTATTGATATTTTAGTGGCGTTTCAGGAGGAAACAGAACGCCTGGGTCAGACACCTGTGTTCTTCACCCAGATGTCACTATTCCATCTGTCTGGTTCGCCTCGACCTAGGCTGCTCACATTAGTCCTGCAGAGGCGACCAGTGGCTGTGTGGGTGCAGCGCTCCTTTTTCAGTGTCCACTTCCTAAACTGTAGCTTACGACACTTGAATTCTGTTTTCTTCCATCTCTGATCCATTGGCTCCCAGGACTTTCCTGTCCTCCTACTAATTCCTTTTCATTCTCCTTTATCAACTCCTTTCCTCCTCTACTGCCCTTTAAAATGTTAACTTCACCCTGTGTCCTGCCCTCAGTGTTATTTTCATCTCCTATATTCTCCCAAGATGCAAAGTAGTAGAGTCTCTTTGCCTCAGAAAAGTGCAGGGTGGTGAGAAGGAATGCTGCTGCCCTCGGACTAACTTCTGGACTCTGCCTTTGCTGGCATGAGGCCTAGGATCACCTGTGGTCTCAGGTCACTTGTGGTCTCTGACGTGCAGATCAGTGAGAAGACAGCAGCACTCCGTGTGTACACTATTAAACATTCTTATTTTCACCTTCACTTTTGACTCTGCTTCTCTTACTTGTCTCCCCACCCCCAGTGGTCTGATCTGAATTTTCAACTTCTTCTTGAACATGTGAGAGCCCCACAACACTTCAAACTAAATAAACCTAAAACTGATATTTATCTTTGCCCTCTTTTATTTTTTATTAACATTTATTGGGGCAACATTGGTTAATAAAATTATACAGGAAAGGGCAAAAATAGATTTACTGTTGTGAGTATGTGAAACAGTTTATTCTTGTACTATTATTATTTTTTAAAATGTATTTTTATTGATTTCAGAGAGGAAGAGGGAGAGAGAGAAAACATCAATGATGAGAGAGAATCATTGATTGGCTGCCTCCTGCATACCCGCTTACTGGGGTTTGAGCCCGAAACCCTGGGTATGTGCCCGTGACTGGAATCGAACCCAGGACCCTTCAGTCCACAGGCCAATGCTCTATTCACTGAACCAAAACAGCAGGGGCATTATTTATAAATTGTATAATTTTCCATACGAACACCTGTAAACTTCCTTTTGCCCACCCTTTGGAGGTTTCAAGTGTTCAATTGTGTAATATATCATCCGTATATTGCATTGTGTGCCCATCACCCCAAGTCAGGTCTCTCCTTCCATCACCACTTATCCCCACCTTATCCTTTTCTACCTCTTCCCACTCTCCTTTCCTTCTGGTAACCAGTGTGCTTTTGTCTGAGTCTAGAGTTTTTATGTCTTGTTGGTTGGTTGGTTGGTTTCAGTTTTATATCCTACATATGCATGAAATCATATGGTGGTTGACTTTTTCCATTTGACTTCACTTAGCATGATACTCATGTTGCAAGTGGCAGTACTTATCTTTGCTATGTCTGAGGAGTAGTATTCCAATGTATTTATGTATCTCATCTTCTTTATCCAGTCATCTATCGAAGAACCCTCTAGTTGTTTCCATGTCTTGGCCACCTGCCTTTTCCCCCTTTTAAATTGGCTCTTTCTCCTGTCCTCTATTTCCTGCATCAAGTTCCTCTTCCTCCTGCTCTCATTCATACACCTGTCTTTACCAGTCTTTGCTGCACTGGCAGGGACGACAGGCATGCCTCCTACTTGGCATAGTAGGTGAAAATGCACCTGCTGTGAGCTGCTGGTGCTCATGGGAGGTTGTTAGACTAGGAAAAAGGGATGAGACTTTTAACTTGGAGCCTCAACATCACTCCTGGGCACCAGCCTCATAACTGAGATCTAGGACTCTAATCCATCTTACCACTGTTCCTTTTTTCCTGAAAACCAGTTTAAACATGTGACCTCCCTACTTAGAAACCTCTCTGGGTTACCTACTACTTCTGGACCAGAATTTAAACTCCTTTATGCCTCAGCCTCTTCCTTGCCACTCATCTGCTGAGCCCACCACACACAGTCCTCCAGCATACCACATTCCTCACTGCCTCAAATCCCCGTGCTCCCAGTGAGGAAAGCCCTGCCTTTCTCCGTGCGGTGTCCTCTCTTCTCCAGCACTTTCCCTCCTACTGTATTCCTGCTCATCCCTTTAGTACCTGTTGTACTTGTTCCTCCTCTGTAAGCCTTTCTTCTCCCAGTTGGAGCAGGTTCTGGACTCTTCCAACCTGCCTACACCCCTTTTAGGTCACTTTTTGGGGCATACGGTTCTGAAATATTTGTGTGTGTACCTAGCCCAGTGTTCTTAGCAGTTCACTTTTTTCAGGGAATGAACATGAACGAATAGTCTGAATTTTGGTCTCTGTTATTTGCCTGTTAACTGTGGAGCTCATTAACTCGAGTCACTTGACTGTATATTGATAGGTCAGCCATCTCCACTAGGACTTGGTGTATTTTATAAAGTGTTGGGCCTAAGATGATGTTGCCGATGATGTGAGCTCTACTTATTTGCATTGAAGGTCATTGTGTTCCTTGCTGTATTTTTTAAAATGTCTATTCATCTTAAAATTCTCTCTATAGTGGTCTTCAAAATCGGGCAGAAATTATGACAGCTGAATTCTAATCGTTAGGATGTGTTCATTTCACTAAGTGATACTGTGCAAAATGAACAAAACAGGTTTTACAACGCTTTTTACACAATCTTTGTATCATAGTTCTAGGGAACATTAGGGCTCTTTATTCTCCATGTTTTTAGGAAGTATTGTATTTAAAAGTAAGTTCACATTGTTAGTATCCCATTAGATGCCTCATGTAAGAACCTTTCCATACAGTAAGCAAGGAGTGTTCTAGAATCCCTTGGTTATATGCTGGAAGAGGGAAAGAATGCTTCTTTGGAAAGATGTTTGACACAGAATTGCAGCCCTGTTCTGAGTAGAACCATTGTGATTTTCCTTTGAAAATAATTACAAATATACATTAAAAACTTGACATTCTTCTCACGTGTGTGATGTTGGGAATGAAGGTATATTCAAAAGTAAACATTTGTGGCCAATTTTTTTGGCTCAGATTACTATGACATGGAATCCCTGGTCTATGCAGACACAAGATCATTTATTCTGAAGAAGCCAAAGCTGTCTGAGGAAATAGTAGTGGCATCAAACCAAGAGTCGGGGATGAAGACCGCAGATACCCTTCGGGTACTTTCAGGACACCTTATGCAGACACGGTAGATGGTTTCTTTTTTTTGTGTAGCTACTTTGTGTTCATTAGATGGGCAGTGCAGGATAACCGTCAGTTTACACTTCCCTCCACCCGATCCTGGCGCTCAGTGTAGAGTGCTTTGACTCAATAGTTAGGCCACGTATATAGTAAGCCAAAATCAGGTTTCAAGTATTCAGTTCATCTTTCTTGTTCGGAAATCCATTATCCTGCAAAATAAGTCAGCGTATGATTTAATGTTAATAAGATTCTTTTCTTTATGTGCATCCAGGAAATGAGATTTTAAAGGCCAGGTGATCAAAATCAGGAAATCCCTCCAGAGTTAGCCAGTTGGGTTGGGATGATCCTTCCCTTAGAAAATTAAAAGTTCTAACAAACATACAGATAATAAAATTAGTGTAAATATAGACTGCTGGCTATTGTGCTGTGTGCATGGATGCTGACTTTTCAGTATATTTCCATGTGACCCTATGAGGATCAGTTGGACTGAGGGGGTTAGGGTTGAGGAGAAGTTGGCTTTAGCCCCGGGGGCGCTGGTAATGCTGCCACAGTGATGGGCCGCAGCCAGTGTGTGGTAGCAGGAATCCCACGGAGGCTGTACCTGCAAGTTCTTTAAAGTCTTTTTTTTTTTTTACTGAAGAAACCACAGCAAGTAAGGGAGTGATAGTTCTGCTAAAGAGCACGTTAGGAGGCTCAGCTTTATGTGTTCGTTTCCCTAATTCTATGGTATTTTCTATCTATCTGGCAGAGATCTTGTACAACCAGATAAACCTGCAAGTCCCAAGTTTATAGTGACGCTGGATGGTGTTCCCAGCCCCCCAGGATACATGTCAGATCAAGAGGAGGACATGTGCTTTGAAGGAATGAAACCTGTAAACCAAACTGCAGCCTCAAACCAGGGACTCAGAGGTCTCCTCCACCCACAGCAGTTGCAGTTGATGAGCAGGCAGCTTGATGACCCCAATGGTAGCTTTGCACACGGTGTGTTGAGAGCTCAGCCTTTCCCTCTTAGGGTGCTGGTATTGAGAAGGAAATCTTTGACATGTTTCTCTGTCTTGAATGAATACTGGTTGGAAGCCTTGCTTTTGTTTATTCCTCAGTAGTGGCCTTTATTTTTTTCAGACAAAACAACCAGTTAAATTTGAGACTGTCTGTGAATGTTGGCTGTTATTTAGGTGCTAACATGGTATTCAGCCATGGAAGCCAAAAAATTCCTTTTATTCATGTCAGAGAATGACCATCATTCTTAATTTCTGTTTGCCTTTTTCTGAAAAAGAAACTGTACTGGCTACTTTCCTCTTTTACCAGCATTAGTCTCTTTTATAATTAACTTGCTAGAAAAATGAATTTGAATTTTGATGCTATTTCTCCTTCGGTGAAATTCTCTTGAGTGAAGTTTCTCACCTAGCAGTCAAAATAGTTCTTGGACGTTTAGAAAAGATCTTATGTTTAAATTAATATTTAAGCATAGTATTTAGTAGTCAGATCAACTCATTTCAGATAGTGACATGCTTTTAGGCAGATGAGCCTTTCTTAGGGCTTTTTACTGGATACCAGTGGCAGGTACAGCTACTGATCATTTTCACTCAGGATAGAGAATAACCATGCTCTTCGGACCTCACATTCCTAGAAACACCTACTTTGACAGTGGAGGCAATTACTACATTTTTAAAAAATAGGTTTTTAATGATTTTAGAGAGAGAGGAAGGGAGAGAAAGATAGACAAACATCGATGAGAGAGAAACATCAACAGGTTGCCCCCTGCACAGTTCCCACTGGGGATTGACCCCGCAACCCAGCCATGTGCCCTGACTTGGAATTGAACCACCGACCTCTTGGTGCATGGGTTGACATTTAACCATTGAACCAAACCAGCCGGCCAATTACTGAATCTTAATGAACAGTATCAAAGAAAAAAATGGGTTTTGAAATTTTTCCAGAGTAAAATTTCTTTGCAGATATATGAAAATATATCAAGTGTTTTTTTAGGAGCTAAAAAATATAATAGTCCTTTGGGGGAGATACGAGTAAGTGAAGAGATATCGCTATTATCTTGAACTGAATGAGGCAATAATATAGTGTTATGGTTTTGATTGGTGGCAGAAGTTGAAAACAACCCTATTGAAAGGAGGAAAGGTTTTAAAATGGAAACAAAGGTGGTAAGAATTCCAAGTTGGGCACTGCACATTTCTTGACCTTATATATTTTGTCTAAAATAAGAGAAAATTCTGGTGCTTTTGCTACTTTGGTTTTCAATTTGGCAGCTTAAATTTTTATATGTTAGGGTCTAGTTTCATTTAAATGTAGATGTCTGTTAGGCTTTATTGGAATACATGTCATTGGCGACATATATACCAGTGGCTATTATGGAGGCAGCTATGATGCGTGGTGAGCCTCCTTCACCATCACTTTGATCTGGGACTCTCGGTATATTATGCTGAGAGACCTGAATAGCAGTCACAAAGAGGCTGGGGTCTCTCTTGCTCTTCCCCTCTGAGCAGGGAGTTTGAAACTTTGTAATTGCTTTTGGTGGCTTTTTGTCCAGTGTTTCCAGGATGCTACTGACAGCAGCAGCCATTTGAAGTCACCCCCACTGGCCATTATATAGCAGTCCAGATTTTATAGTTTGCAGCAAAAAGTGAATTTGCCTCTTAAAATGTAAACAGGAAAAGTTTTAATAGCTTATGAAGTAAATGTTAGGGAAAACCAGAGTCATGACTTTCGTATATATGGTTTAACATTTCTATCAGGAAGATACAGTTTCCTTGTGCAGTATTTAACCTCTTTAACATGCTTGTGAGTTGCCACTTATTCCACTTTGCAGCAGCCTGCGATGAGTATTCTGTAAACTTCTCATTTGGCCTGGGTTGCCACACAGATACCATAGTCGAAAACAGTGGTTCTCAACCTTCTGGCCCTTTAAATACAGTTCCTCATGTTGTGACCCAACCATAAAATTATTTTTGTTGCTACTTCATAACTAATGTTGCTACTGTTATGAATCGTAATGTAAATATCTGATATGCAGGATGGTCTTAGGTGACCCCTGTGAAAGGGTTGTTCGACCACCAATGGGGTCACGACCCACATGTTGAGAACCGCTGGTCTAAAGAATGTTCTTTAGGAGGAAGGTCAGACAGACAAATCTCTGCAAGGCTGACACAAAAACCATTTAAATTTGGAGAAAATCCTCTGGCCCTACCAGATTTTACTTAAGACTAGGGATACTTTTTATCCTGGAGATAAATAATGACTTACTTTATTAAGTAGCCTGGAAAATTTATATGTCAGGCATAGTCATAATAGCGCTGATGGTCTTCCTAACGGGTTTAGGACTGGCTGTGTGTGCCTTGTTATCCTATAATGAAGACGGAAGTCGGGTCACTGTATTGTTAAGTTTTGATTGCTACCTGTTTTGCATTCTTGTTTTCATTTAATCATAAAATTAAGGAAGACATTATTTCCTCTGTGTAAATGAGGAACCTGACATTCAGAGGTGTTAGCACTTGCCCAGTGTCTACCTTCTCTGCTAGTAAGTTACAGAGCCAGATTTGAACAGCTCTGTAAGAGATGTAGTTCAAGTGATATCTGCTTTCACAAACATGAATATGAACAATAATAGGTAATACCCATGGTGCTATTGAGAGGGAGGGTTGGATGTGTTGGACCAGAATTTGGTAGGTAGCTCATGATAGCTACCAGGTGTAACTTTATTTGGTTTATTCTGTTTTGAATTTGAATTAGTTGCCAGCATTTAAAATTTAAATGTCATGTAAAAAGGTTTTTGGCTTACCGAATCAGGAGACAGTCTGGCAACATGGTCCCACTTTCTGAAGTCACAATAATTGACATTGTAATTGGACAGAACCTGGTGAGTGGTATGGCAGAGAGTGTGCCATCTGATGGCGTGTGCACTGGTCTCTTCCCCACCCATTTGCTCCACGAGGAGACTGACAGCCATGGTGATCTCACATCCAGCCAGGCGCACCCTGTTAGGTAATCTGCTGGGCCCTGTAGATAATGACATTTGGGACCCATTTTAGGCAAAAGTCTTTTCCTCACTTTGAAGACATTGCTGAATTTATCACTTGGACTTAGAAAACTGGGTATACCTCAGTGAGTTGGAATACTTTTGTATTGGGACCACTGGTGAACTTGCCTGAATGAGAATTCGTTCACATTTTTTATCAACTTGTGTTTTCAGTCTGCATTTCATTTTATTGGCTCTCTACTTGACATTCTTCCCTCTTTTATATTTGATCAGCTCTGAAATATTTTTGAGAATTGGAGTTTTTTGTGAGAACTTTGGCCCTAGTTGCAGCATCACTGTTCACTTACTTCCACAATGCAAACTAGTCTACTGCCTGGATCGTTTACAGGATTCTGTTACAGTGTTGGTCAGATTACTTTGACTCACTTATTTCATATGACCATGGACATAGAAGATAACGATTTAAGACTGGGTTTTGAGGGAAATTTATTAGAAGTGCCATGTACTGAATTGATCATAATTAATGTATACTTTTAATTCCTCTCCCTTTGTAGCTGAGATGAGTGAACTGAATGTGGCACAGAAGCCAGAAAAACTTTTGGAGCGCTGCAAGTACTGGCCTGCCTGCAAAAACGGGGATGAATGTGCTTACCACCACCCGATTTCACCTTGCAAGTGAGTAGCAGCAAACCAGTTCTGGTCTTCAGGTTAATTTCCATATCTGATCGCATATTTAGCTTTTTTTTTTTAAGGCCAAGTTTGAGTTTTGTAACTAAATTCATTGACACTTACCACGGTCCTGCCCTGAACAGCATATGTGTGTGTAGTGGGGGGTGGGGTGTGTGTGTGTGTAGGTCCTGTAGGGATGGGGAGATGGGAGGTGGCTTCTTTGTGCCTCAGACCTATGAGATACCGAAATTCTGGGTTTTATTCCAGATTCTGTACATTTAAGGAGGTGGGTATGTAATAACTTCCCCGTTTGTATGCATTGTGTTCATCCATACATACACAAATGTTAAGGCGTTGAGGGAAAACTATATAATAGGTAATGAGAAAATATTTTGGACTTGGGTATAATTTTTCCTAACCAGCTGGCTGTTTAAATGGAATGACCTTTGAGAGATGACTTTTACATTTTGTTTTCGTCCTATAGGTAGAATCTTTCCATGTTTTAATTTCAGGAGCTTTTGATATGAGAATAACATGGATGTATAAATAGGGAGATCGTGGGACAAGTACTTTTTCTGGTAGCACAATCCCTTGTATAAATATTGTGCTCACTATAGTGTTTACTTCATAAAATATATAAACATAGACTTTAATAATTAAGTGGTGTGATTCTCATTATCACCAAAAACTCTTTTACCCTTCATGTGGTTTGGCTGGAGTTGAAAAACTGTTATTATCCTGGGCTTTGGAATAGATAGTTGTGTCCTGTTTTGATGTATGGCCTCACTTAAAAATGGAGTTTCCTTCTCTTCGTACTTTTTGTTTCTGAAAACAAGTAGTGACGGAATGAGTATAAGGAGCCCCTCTACAAAAAAACTAATGCATTCAGAAGATTAAATGTGAATAATATGCTTTTGTTGTTGTTTTATAGGGCTTTCCCCAATTGTAAATTTGCTGAAAAATGTTTGTTTGTTCATCCAAATTGTAAATATGATGCAAAATGTACTAAGCCAGATTGTCCCTTCACTCATATGAATAGAAGAATTCCAATACTGCCTCCAAAACCAGGTTAGTGACTTTGTGCACTACTACTTTTGGGTAAAATAAAATTTAAAAAAATTAAAAATGACATTTCGTGAAAGGAATAGTTTCAAAATTGTAGCAGAATCGATTAAAGTAACGAGTCTCCAAAGAGGAAGTGCATGCATACTATAGTATTCTTACGTATTTTTATCTTCACTAATGAATATATATGTCTCATCATTCATTATATTTTAATTTTAAAATGGTTCCCATAAAAACATCAGAATGCATTAAAAATTATTTTGCCAAATAAATTTGATCAATGTTTGTCCTTATTTTTGTCAGCAGTTATAACAGCAACTCCATCTTCTAGTAGTCAGCTCTGCCGTTACTTCCCTGCTTGTAAGAAAATGGAATGTCCTTTCTATCATCCAAAAGTAAGAACCTTTTTTCCCCTTTATTGATTAAGGTATTACATATGTGCCCTTAACCCCCTATTCCCTCCCACCCCCCGACCCCCATTCATGGCCCTCACCCCACTGGTGTCTGTCCATTGGTTAGGTTTATATGCATGCATACAAAGTCCTTTGGTTGATCTCTCCCCTTTACCCCCACCCATTTTCCCAAACTGAATTTAGTGATAACTTTTCAGTTGTGAGACCTGGAAGATCACTAGCAAATTGAGATTGAGTATCTTCCTTACCTCCTTTAACCCCTTCCCCAACAATTTTTTTGTTAAAAACGTTTCTTTTTCAGACTAATTTTTTTATTTTGGTTCTATATAGTATTTTTGATGCTCGTTATGAAAACAGTTTGTAATTATTTTTTCTTCCCATTTTTGTGGTTAAGAATAGTATTTCCTCAGAAAGTTTCTAGATGAAATTATTTAGAATGGTACGTATGTAGCTGGTTTTTGAAGGTAAAGTTTTAGACGAGTATACTCGTTGACGACTGAAAAAAGAACATTTTGTGAAAACGTGTATACACGTTTCTGCCGGGGAAGGGGTTAACTTATTTTTTGTTAGAGTTAAGTTGAAGGTCTTTAAGATCTTTAAGTTATTCTTTAGTATCACTCCGCCTGTTTCTCTCTCTGGCCAAGTGGTGTGACACTACGAATGTCAGTCTTCTAAGCTCTCAGGAGGGTAAAGCTCACCTCTGCTGTTTCTGTTCTTCACTGCCCTAAGCGTGTCGGTGGGTTTTCTTCCCCTGATGCCAGAACTGAGATTAGGAGTCCAGCTTCCTGCCGCCCAGGCTTGTGCTGGTGCTTTGTCTGTGTACTGAGGACTGGCTGGTGTGTCCTCAGCTGTTTCGTTGCCCAGAGTAGTGTCTCCTTTCTGAACTAGCGGCTTGAAGACCACCCAGAGGCCTTCATTTCCCTCCACTGCAGTTGGGCTTAGCTGAGGGGGCTCAGTGAAGACTGTTAGGGTGTTAGGCAGGGCGTGCAGGGTGATTGTTAAACATTGATTAGAAGTAGTTGATTGTATGCTAAGGTTCTTTTTGAAATTTGGCTTGCTGTTATTCTGTGACTAGGATTGTGTGTGTGTGGGGGGGGGGGTTATTTTTCAAGGTTTCAGTAGTAATAAAAATTAATGTTACAGACCATATCTCTTGCCCCATTGTTAGGGTGAGCTTGTTAGTGTCACTCTAATTGCCGTTTTTGTCTGTATTCGCTTTGCATATGTTGAAACTGTTCTTATCTCCTTAGCACTGTAGATTTAACACTCAGTGTACAAGACCTGACTGCACGTTTTATCATCCCACCATTACTGTGCCGCCACGACATGCCTTGAAATGGATTCGGCCTCAAACCAGGTAAAGATGAAAATTAGTTTTCCTAATGGCATTTCAAATAGAGTGGGGCCTTGACTTACGAGTGTCCCGACTAACGAGTTTTTCGAGATACGAGCCATCTCTCGGCCGATTTTTTGCTTTGTGTTGCGAGCTAAAATTCGGGTTACGAGCCAGCTTCAGATACTGCACTGCTAATTGGCACAGCAAACGTCACAGTGAACGCCACAACATCAGCCCAGCATCATGTGTCTCACTCGTTCACTTTTTGATTGGACATACGAGTAATTTGAGTTACAAGCTCCATCACAGAACGAATTAAACTCGGAAGTCAAGACCCCACTGTACTTTTCTAATATGTAGTTTCTTAAATTTATAAGCACACAAATGTGGAATAAATTATCACTTTTTTCTCTGATGTTTAATTTTACATGGGTCCTTTGGAAAAATAATATAGAGTAGAAGCCAATTTTGTTTTATCCAGTAATTGCTTATTTCCCTGAATCATCTCCAGATCAGGTTTCTTTTATAACTTCATCTGCACATACACTAAGGCCTTCAGGAGTTATACTGCTTACCAATTTTCTTAGACATTAATAATTCGGGAGGGGAAAAGTTTCAGAACATTTTAGTGTGGCCTATAAATTCATGTTATCTTTTATGTACCTTTTAAAATCTGGTATTTGCATCATAGTCTGTAGAACGAATATTCATTGTCTGAAGATACTCAACTTCTTAAGGAATGTGGTATATAGGGATGGGAAGCAGTTAATTAAAATTTTTTTTTTTGGTTTTATTCAGTGAATGACACCCAGTCCTACCTGGCAGATCGTGAAGTTTGAAAGTTTCCATCTACTGATGAAAAAGATTCTGTAGAACTTGTCAAATCTTTGAAACTTGGAATATATTGCTTTCATAATATGAAGTTATTGCCTATCTGAAGTACCTAATTTTTCAAGTTTGTAAGTTTATTATGTGGTTTTAACATTGGGTGTTTTGTTGTTGTTTGCCTTGTTTTGACTATGGAAAGACAGTTTAAGGAAAAACTGAATTCTATTAAAACACCTGGTGTGTTTGTACACTGCTGTTTTGAGTATCAGCATGTACAACATGGTGATATTGTCAGTACAGATAATCCAGTTTGGGGCTACATGTTGCTGTGAGTGTCTGCGTGTGTGTGCGGGAGTGTGTGTATACAAAGAAATATAGTGAGGGGAACATCCTTATTCCAAAAGTTGGATTGCTACTTTCATTTTTTCCAGGGATTATATAATGTTCATGATCCACTAAAAAAGTGTTGAGGTAGTTTAAATAGTCCATCCTACTTTTTAATTTTAAGTGATTAAGTTTGGCTTCTTAGGTTGCGTGCTGGTTTGGTAAATGGTTCCCAAATAGCTAGTCTTTGCCTTCTGGGTAAGGATGAGTGAGGTGGGCATGTAGAGTGAAAACAGCTGGAATGCCAACGGCAAAAAGAAAAAGAGCAATTACTTAAAATGTTTTTCATTTACTGTTAACATATACTTTTAAAATAAATATTTTGGAGAACTACATTATCACAAAATTATACAAAAGTTTTTACAAGTATATATACATAGGTATCAGAGAACAGACTTGAAATTCACAAGATTATATAGCTATACATCTACATTCTCCCATTCTGAAAAACATTCTCAGAAATAATTCCAGAAAATATAGTTACTGAAGATAATTTTTTAAATGTAAAAATTAGATTTCAGTAGTATATTTTAAATGTCAGACTATATAATTACAGAGATCAGATGGATAAATTGCAAAGTAGGACTAAACTTTTTGACTACTGAATTAAAATACAGTTATGTGTTTGTGGTTTTTAAAATTGTTAAGGCAAGAAGTGTCAAAAACTTTAGAATTAAACGGATCGCTGATTTTAAAGACTTGATGTACAGTTTTTTAAAAAGTAAAGCTAAAAATTGGTTAGAAAAAAAGCGAATTAATGCAAAAGGGATAATAAAGACTCAAACATTCTGACGACCAAATTAAATGTAACTGGAAAAAAGTTCAGTGGCTTCTTCAATCACATCCTCAAGAGAGAATGACACCACACGTGTCAACCATGTTTAAGAGCCTGAAACCAGCAGTCTGCTGTTCTGTGGCTGCTGCTCTTCCGTTGGGAGAAGAAAGATAACCGTTAACAGTTTTGTAAGCTGCACTTGGCTGTGCTGATTCCAAAGTAGACAAAGCACGGGAGAGCGGAGTGGCCGGTGAGGCGGGAGTGAAGTGACCGTTCCTCCCCTTCTACAAAGCGGCTCCATTGAAGTTAAGGCATATGTTCATTCCAGTGTTAGTACTTGAGATGCTTTTCACATCTCTGCAGAAGAAATTTGTTTTAAATTGTACTTCCAGAAATTTAAACAGATATTTAGCATCGTTTATAAATGTTTTGTAGTTGCAGTGTCATAATTCCACTATAAAAGACCTAAGTGGGAAACAAGGGCTGGTGTGGTTTAGTTCAGCCATTTTACAAGGAAATAACATGCTAAGATTGAATTGTTTCTTGCTAGTTAATAGACATTGCCTGGAAACATATTTAAGAGTTTAATCTTTCAGTTGCTATGGTTTATGGGAGAGCTAAGGTTGATTCTAAAACATTTGTTGGGTAATTTGGTCTAAAATGAACCATCATCCAAAAGGATCACAAAAAATGGAAGGGAAAGGGTGTGGCTCACGGTCAGCAGTGCGTGGCACAGGGTGCAATGTGCTTTGGCATGCGTTTATATACAGAAACAGGGCTAACGGTGCCAGGAGAAGTCTCAGCTTACAAATTCAGGAGCATAGTCAGGTACTGCGCGCACACATACATAATTCTCTCTGGGTTAGAAAAATGAACAGCAGAATCTCCATGGTCTATGGTGGCTTTTCACCTTCCCTTAGTTTGATGGCTGGTAAAAGCAAAAGAGCAAGGTACTCATGGATGACTCCTTAAATTCAATACGACCTTCAGTCATGAACTGACAACAGTGAGTAAGGTTGGCTTATCAAGTTGGCCACTTGGAAGAAAGAAAATGCAATGGAAGCAATTTTATCCTACTTGCTTAAGGTGAGTAGAGTTTCTATTTGCATTGTGATGGAAATGGAATTTCTCTTTAGCCAAAAACCTGCAAACTTGACTGCCAAAAGTATCAAAAATGGAGGGAGAGAGGGATTTTTTCCCCCCTTTAATTTGTTAACTGCTCCTTTATAATATACATGAGTAAAAATGTAATACTAATGTATTCTAAAATTTGCCTTTATTTAGGAGACTGATGTAAATAATGAAAGAATATGATCTTATGTTTAAAGTTTCTTAAACACCTTTAATCAGTTCTTTTAACACAGCTATTCCAAGCTTTAAAACTGACCAGCTTTAATCACTGGTTAGGCTTTCTTGCGATGTAATTTGACCATTTCTGTTTTTAGTATTTACAAGGCGTTGGACATACAAAACTAAGATTTCCAGACACCTGAAGGGGCCTATTATGCTACAAAGATAACACATTAAAATAAAAATTCATAGGACCAATAGAGCATCATAATCTTCTTCACACTTAGAAAAATATATTTTTAAATATCAGTGTACATAATTTCCAATCTTCAGGAAACTACAGATAGGCTAAACAGCATATTCCTGAATGGCAAATACTGATCTTTGGCAGCATTTAAAGTGAATAGGAATAAAGATCTAAGAGTTCAGCCCCAACCCACCAAAAAGAAATAGACAAGTTTGAAAAGTGAACTTGTATTCATTCCTTTTGGAAGTTGGCTATGGGTGGCATACATCTAAACAGATTTTCCAATTAAAAAAATAAAAAGCTGTAAAAATATTTTTTCAAGAATTAACTAAATTGTATAACTTTGTAAATGTGAATTTAACTCTTTAGTTTACATGTTAAACATGTTTCTATTGGAGTATATCTTTAAATATTCAGTATGCTCTCCCATTTAAATACTATTGCTATCTAAACCTTAAAAAAACAGTACACAGTTGGAAATGATTGTTCATCATACTACTTTTTCATTAATGAGGCTATAATTTTAACTTTTCAAATATAGAAATAACTTCTGAATGAAGATGAAGATGGATAGCTCAAAAATGAAAATGTAGCAATCATATGCTAATAACTTTGGATTTATCCCTGTACAAATGCCAGGAGAACACTCATTTATAAAAAGGGCTTTTCTTGATGCTGCAGAAGTAGTATGTCCTCCAGGGAAGTTTGTGTGTGTCTCCTCAGGGAAAATAAGGTTTGCCTTTTAAAAACATCCTTTAGGGTGATGGTGTGTTTCCTTTCCTTACAGAAACATAAGGATATATTTCACTTGAACTGTGAACCACAAACTTTCTAAAAGGAAAGTGTTGTGTTAAAGGATGATGAAAATAATCCGAGTTGGGTTTTTAAGGTTTTGGTTTGCCTCGCCAGCAGGTCTGCCAAATTTGCACACTCCCCCCAAATGGGGGTTGGCTCTCACTATTATTTATTTTGTCCTTCCTTGAATTGTAATTATCTGGCAGTGTATGGATTACAATTACTCAGTGCATATAATAAATATTTTGAACTTATCCATCTTATATTTTGATGATTCTGGGCATATATCCCTGTTACAATCTTAAATTAGCACCACTTGACTTCTCCCTCGTCTGTAATTCTGGTTTCTCAAGGCTGTTTATTCAGTCTTCCCAGCATCCACGTCTTTCAATGGGGCGTGTGTACACACTTCCAGACAAACAAACTGCAACCAGAGGAAACCTGCAGTGAGTTCATTATATTCCTAGGTTTTTAGAACAGTTAAGTTTTTCAATTGAGCTTTCAAACCATACATGTATAAAATTTTTCCTCGTTAACTCCTTTTACTCTGTATTTATACATAGTGCGTGACTCTAAGGCAGTGGTTCTCAACCTTGGCTGCACATTAGAATCACCTGGGAATCTTTTTAAAATCCTTATTTCTGGGCCTCATCTTCCAGAAATTCTGTTTCTTTGTTCCTAATGTTGTGCCCCCACCCCATAACAAAGAAACAGAATTTCCGGAGGATGAGGCCCAGAAATCAGGATTTTAAAAAGATTCCCAGGAGATTCTAATGTGCAGCCAGGGTTGAGAACCACTGCTCTAAGGAGTCATCTGCTTTTGCTACCTTCCGATGCTGACAGTTCAGTGAGTCCACAAACTGCAGCTGTAGAAGTGATACCAAATCTCTAACTAGCAAAGACAGTCTGCTCTTGGGCTGAAAAAGTTACCAACCTGCAGTCATCACCTCCAGCACTAATCACGTGTCGATCACCACTGGTAAATCGAATATTTGTCACATGGGGTGAATGACCTAAGAACCTTTTATGCTTTGCCTGAAAAAACAAACAAAAAACTAAGCTCAAGGTGTGTGATGCACACAAAAGTCCTAGGTTGCTACAAGGAACCGTAACTTCCCATCACTTCCCAGAGCTGAGGAGAGAGGAAGCAGTTAGGACCATAGTCAGTGACCAAGTGCCTTTCAGATTAGTAATGGGTCAGCACTTAACACAAACCAGGTGATTTGGGCAGGCAGATGTCCCCAGTTACTCTGAAATTTTTCCTGAGGAAAAGCATTTGAAACTTGGTAAAGGTTTGATAAAACACTAACCACAGCCTTTTATTAGTATAGTTTGCAAAGATGGGTGTTACTTCAGGGCAGGGGGTATAATTTCTAATAGCCATTATTTCAGAGTAAGGGATTTAAGAAGTTTGGGGGAAAAAATTAAGAACACAAAAGTATTTCCAGAGCAGGACACAACACATTTTAGCTATTATGTGGGGAAATGTACTAATGATCAGACATCTAATTGAGAATATGATTATATAAAATGCTAAACCAAATACTTACAAATTTTTCAGGGCATGGGAAGTCAAATAACTTAACCATGCCAAAGTCATCTCCTGTCACAAGGCTGATTCCTGAATGAGACACACAGGCACAGTTGACATCTGCTTTCTCAGCGTGCCTGGACCAGATTCCCATAACTTCACTCCCTAGAATGCTAGAGGGAAGGGAAAAGAGAAATTCACCATAGCAAACAGGTTGACCATACTGAAAAAGTTTCTTGGTAATTAATCTCTAAGTACCTAATGTGTGTTTTAAAATACAGAAGCAAATTGTAAGTTACTGGGAGTCCTGAGTTTCACCTGGGATGTTAATCCTCCCCCCACCTAAAGAAAATTTAAAAATTTTAAGATTTATACATAACCTTTTAAAAATTAACACTGTGTGAGAGCTGGCTTTATAAAATAAAGAGTGATGCTTATTCTATAGGAATTTGACAGTTTTCATTTATACTGGCTAAGAAGATGGATGCTCATCATTACCTGTTACACAGCCAGTGAGTTTGAACAAATTTATCGTTTCATTTCTAACAGCTGCAAGATAGCATTCCTTTTCGATACAGAAATAATACAATTGCCTAACAGAACCCAATATATTTGTCTGTTAAACCTATGATGTTAAAGGAAATATCAGGGCATCTTTAAAGTATTAACTTTGATTTCCTTTCTTTAAAAGAACTGATAAGTCATGGAAACTGAAAAAGCCTGGAAATACAGGCAACCAAATGCAGTCCCAGAATGAGCAGTCCTTCTCAATGACTATATGAATGCTTACCTGGTCCATGTAGCCCAAGTAATTCTATCAATGGCAGCCTGATCCGTAAGATGTCTTCCCGAAGGCACTTCATAGACATGCCGTTTATAGCAACCAGTGGACACCTTTCATCATATATTAAAATGGAACAAGAATTCCATTATGTGAGGCAAAATCCAGAAGTTTACATTATACTAGCAGAGTGCTATCTGGTTTGGTTTACACTTCTAACATTACTAAGAATGAAAAGATGACTACAAAATCTTGTACAAAAAAGTGGAGGAAAGGA